GAAGGGTCATGAATTCATGCAGTTTCATGAAGCTGCACAGAAATTCATGAGGGTTCATGAGGGTTCATGCAGGAGCATACACAGTCATGCAGTCTCATGAAAGTTTTCATGAACCTTCATGACCAAATATAACCAGTTCAAGTTGGAAATTGACAGGACACATTATGCACCCCCATGCCTTCTTATGAATGTTCATGAATGTGCATGACTTTCCATGAAGAAGAATAGTGTCATATCCATACATACCTGATCTGACCCAACTCCTGCACCAACTCCAGAGTCCCACTTCACCCATGCCCTGGCCAGCCTCCAAGAGTCTACTCTACCTCTGGCCTGACATCACCTTCCATCTCCCAACTCCCACCCCACTTCTCCACTAAGTGAAAGGTTGCTTGTGTCAGAGACCAGATCGAGATGAAGGAATGTCTCTGTGGCGGAGGGCTTCAGCCTCAGCGACTTATGCCAGAAGCGCTGTGCCAAGTAACACATCTGTGCCCTAACTTACTAACTGGCAATGTCATATCCGTGCATACCCGACCCCGACCCGACTTCCGGACCTCCACCCTCTTCACCTCCAGAGTCATAACCTACCGCTGCCATTCCGATACTCACCTTCGTTCCTGGCAACACACCTCCTTCTACCCCCCCCACGCCACCTCTACTCCTCCCTTCCTCTCCTACCCTATCTCCGTCCGCTCCGATACTCACCTCGGACCGAACATCGTTCCTCTCACCACCCTCCTACTACTTCTCCACCCTCCTGTTCCGCTCCTCCTTTGCCCAACCTCCACCCTCCCGTCATCCTCCTACGCTTCCCCCATCCGCTCCGATACTCACCTTCAGACCTGACAACCCTCCTCTCCGCCACTCCTTCCCCCTTACCTTTCCCCTCTCTCCTCCCTCTGGTACTCTTCTGCCACCCTTCCGCCAAGTTATGGCCTTCTGCCGCTGTCCCGTACTTCCTACTCGGACACCGCTCGTACCTTCACTCTGAGCCTCCGTCATAGTCCTGACCTTGGACTTTGACTCCACCTCAGTCTTAGTCCATTGCATTGGTGACCTCATACTACATAAACACCATTGCCAATATCCCTCGGACTTTCAACCCCACCTCCGTAACCTCCGTAACCTCCGCAACCTCCGAGCTTTGCGGATTGCTGTCGGCACTTTCGCCACCTGTAATGTATCTCTCACGTTTACCCCTCATCTCTATTTGGACTACTGCTTCTTACCATTCTAGCCAGTTAGTCATCATTCCCACTTCTCCTCATCCTCCTGCCCCTCTGGGCCTCGCCCTCCCTACCTCCTTTCGGACATATCACAGGTCCTGCCTTATGACCTTTGATACCGCTCCGTTTCCTCTACCCTTTGTTCCCATTCAGACGTCTTTGTTCCGATTCGGTTCCCCTTTGTTTCCTTGTGCTTTTTCCCCTTCCATTATATATATTGGCACTTGTACATACTCGTTTTGGTTCAGTCCAAAATCGACCTGAAATGCCCCCTAGAGACTTCCTGCTCACCTACTGTGAAATTAAGGACCAAATGGACAAACAGCAATGGCACAGCGCTCCGCTTGAGTCGCTGAGGCCAAGGTCCCTCCACGCTAAGTCTCTGATTCCACTCCGGAGTCGTCTGTATCTGCCCATTCTAACAGGCAGGCCATAACCCAGAAACAGAAAGGAGGGATAGGCCTGAAGGTGGGCTTGCAGGGCAAGCAAGTGTATTGCCCAGCAGAGGCAGGAGTGCGCTAGCGGACGTCAGAGCTGTCCGGAAGCCTTCGGGGCTCCGTACTTAGGGAGGTGTAGGTAATATATTGAAAAGAGGGGGTGGTGACCATCGAGGGATGTGGAGGTGGCTGTGGAATATGGGGGCTCCGAGGTTGGTGAAGAAGGAGTGGAGGTAGTCCAGAGGGATCGGAGGTAGTGGAAGTCGATGGCCATGGATGGATATGACAGCTTACTATTTTGGGGACAGTAATGTTCCGTTCCCCCATTCGCCTCTAGCCCCAGATAGTCTGTCTAAAAATGTGCTGTATATTCAATGGGGTAGAGGTCAAAGGCTACTGGGCCTTTACAACTACTCTGAGGTATATATATGTGATTTACATATCTCGGCACAAATAAATAAAGAAAGAATAGCATCACTATAATGGGAATTATAGCGATGCAACATAATATAAATATCACTATAATCGGAATTATAGTGAAGTAAGGTTAATCCCTTACACTAAGGTACTACCTTCTGGTCTGTCTCCATACCCTGGCCTCAGACACCATGCCATACCTCTGTCTCCAAGATTTCTGTCTTAGCCCTGACCTCAGACTTTGACCTCACCTCCACTTAAGTTCACTGCATAGGTGACCTCATTTCATTGAATCACCTTTCCCAATATCCTTTTGGACTTCCAACTCTGCCTCTGTAACCTCTGTTACCCCTGGACCTCACAGATGCACCATGGACCCTGCAGTTTTGTCATATCCATACAATCCCGACCTCCACTCCAGGCTCCCAGAACTCCGAAACTGACTCCAGAGCCCTACTTCCCTTCCATCACCTTCTCCTTGCTGACTCCCAAGAGGTTATCCCACCATCAGCTCCGACACCACCTTTGGTCCAACTCCGGAGCATTCTGGGTCTGACCCCAACTTTGACACCTTCCAGATGAGCATGCAACATCTATGCTCCTGACTCTGGACCTCTGCTCCGGAATCCTGTTTGCATCTCCGTCTCCAGAACCTCCGGTCTTAGCTTGGACCTCAGACTTTAACCCCACCTCTGCTTATACCCATTGTATTGGTTAGCTCATTCCATTTAATTACCTTTGCCAATATTCCGGAGTTTAACTTCCGAGTTTGGACTTTCTGGACTTACTTTGGACCTTGCAACTATTGCATTGCTCCATTCAATTCCACTATTCTCCCTCATTCCTATTTGGGCTGCTGCTTCCTTTCTATTCAGTCAGCTAGCCATTCCCCACTCCCATCCTCCTTCCTTCCTCCTTGGGCCTTGGTGTTAGACACTGGTCTGGGGTCGGCACCGAGGGTTGCCATTGCAGGCCACTATAGGCCATGATGGCCATGATGCTGTGAACAAGGCCTGAGGGTAGGGCATTTGGCCTCAGCGACTCTAAAGGAGCACTGTGCCCCCTAGCTGTCTCTTGGCCCTCATTTCAGACTTACTGGGGTTGCCTTGTTGAGGTCAGAACTTAGGAGGCCATGGTAAAATCGATATTAGAGCTAAGGTACAATAAAGTATCATACAGGATATATATAGGGAGAAAGAATGAATGGAAGCGGACCCGGGCTGAAGGCCGAAGAGTCCAGAAGCAAAAGGGAACAAGGAGCGGGGTTGGCTGCACAGTGGCCAGCAATGACTGAGGGTCAAAACATAAATAAAGGAAGGAGCATAGGGCCACAATAGCGGTGATGGTATCGGATACCATCACCGCTAGTGGTGCCAGACTTGGAGTTGGGCTGGAGTCGGGTGTGGGAATGGTAGTGGCCCGGTGAGGGCCAAGTGGGTGGAGTAGAGGAGTTGCACTTGGCGCTGTGCTGGAGGCGGACTCAGGGTGGGGAGGTTGGTGTGGCAGTGGGGGAGCCAGTCTAGCACTGGGGAACCACAGGCAAGTGGGGAGCGAGCAGGGAGCCCTCAAGGAGGATGTCATATCCATCCATGGCCATCAACTTCCATGCTTCCAATCCCTCTGGACTATCTCCACTCCTTCTTCACTAACCTCGGAGCCCCTGTATTCCGCAATCACCTCTGCATCCCTCGATGGTCACCACCCCCTCTTTTCAATATATTACCTACACCTCCCTAAGTACGGAGCCCCAAAGGCTTCCAGACAGCTCTGATGTCCACTAGCGCACTCCCACCTCTGCTGGGCAATACACTTGCTTGCCCTGCAAGCCCACCTTTGGGCCTATCCCTCCTTTCCATTTCTGGGTTATCACCTACCATTCCGCTAACCCCGTAACCCGACTTGTCGGTAATATTCAATCGGCTAATGTTTAACCCTGTTAGCTCCACTCCGCTCGGCCCCACCATTTACAGGCCTGCCCTCGTTGTAACTATATATACTCAACTTGTACATAGGTTACACCTCAGTAATAAAATGTTGCCAGTTAGTAAGTTAGGGCACGGACATGTTACTTGGCACAGTGCTCCTGGCACAAGTTGCTGAGGCCGAAGCCCTCCACCATGGAGACATTCCTTCATCTCAATCTGGTCTCTGACAGAGGATAGGGATGAGGTTCAGGGCTTGCACTCACACTCACTCAGTGGGATGGGTGGCTAACAGGCTGGAATGCATGGCCATGACACTTGGCCCTTCACTCCTCCTTTGGGAAACACCATTGAGTCAAATCCTTGACCCTTGGTGTTGTCCCTCCTTCCAGCTCCCTTTGTCTCCTTTCGGAGTACCCTTGCTCCTTTTGATTAACCCAAAGTTTTTTCTGTATTTTTTGAGAGCACAGTAAGCAGAATAAGTGCACATATAGTGAACCAGCTCATCCAAATTCCTTCATATAATCTGGGACTATTGCATCACAATGAGATACAGAAAAAAACCTTAATTCATGTGACAAAATGGTACCTACCACATAACATTTGATGGAGAATTGAAGGAGAGACAAATGGGGGGAAATTTGGTTGCACCTTGCACACTCAAACCATGTGCTGCTCAGTCATGACTCTGCATGAAGAGTCAGGAATATTCATGGAGAGTTAGGAATATTCATGAAGGGTCATGAGCATTCATGTGCAGGTATGGGAATTTTTGGGCCTGCTCATGAATTCCTGTGAAAAGTCATGGCCATGCATGACCATGCATGGACATTCATGGACATTCATGGCTCTACATGAAGATTCATGATGCATGGCTTCATGACTCTTCATGAAGTCAGTAGTCATGAACCTTCATGAAGGTTCATGCTTGCCAAAAAAAATCGACTTTTTGGGTTGAAAATTAATGATTTGAACATAAATATTGTGTCATATCCATGCATACCCAACCCCGACCCGACTTCCGGACCTCCACCCTCTTCACCTCCGGAGTCATAACCTACCGCTGCCTTTCCGATACTCACCTTCGGTCTCGGCAACACACCCCTCCTCTTACCTCTCCGACCCCTTCTCCGTCCGTTCCGATACTCATCTCGGACCGAACATCTCCCTACTCGCCACCCTTCCTACAACTCCGCTCCCCCCTCACCACACCTCCACCCTCCCGTCATCCCCTACGCTATCTCCGTCCGTTCCGATATCCACCTTCGGACCTGACTACTCTTCCTTACCTTCCCCTCTCTCATTCCTCCGCCACCCTTCCGCCAAGTTACGACCATCCACCGCTGTTCCGTACTTCACACTCGGACACCGTTCGTACCTTACTCCGAGCCTCTGTCATAGTCCATACCTCGGACTTTGACTCCACCTCGGTCTTAGTCCATTGCATTGGTGACCTCATACTACGTGAACACCATTGCCAATATTCCTCGGACTTCCAACCCCGCCTCCGTAACCTCCGTAAGCTCCGCAACCCCCGAGCTTCGCGGACCGCCTCCGGCACTCTCGCCGTTTGTAATGTATTTCTCGCAATTCCCCCTCATCCCTATTTGGACTGCTGCTTCTTTCTATTCTAGCCAGTTAGTCATCACCCCCACTTCCCCTCATCCTCCTGCCCCTCTGGGCCTCGCCCACTCTACCTCCTTTCGGATGTATCACAGGTCTTGCCCTATGACCTTCGGTACCGCTCCGCTCCCTCTAACCCTTTGTTCCCGTTCGGACGTCTTCGTTCCGATTCGGTCACCCTTTGTTTCTCCTTGTGCTTTTGCCCCTTCCTTATATATCGGCGCTTGTACATACTCGTCTGTTTTCAGTCCGAAATCGACCTGAAATGCCCCCAAGAGACTTCCTGCTCACCTACTGTGAAATTAAGGACCAAATGGACAAACAGCAATGGCACAGCGCTCCACTTGAGTCGCTGAGGCCAAGGTCCCTCCACGCTAAGTCTCCGATTCCACTCCGGAGTCGTCCGTTTCCGCCCATCTCTAACATATTGTATATAAGCATAAAGGTTCATGAAGTGGATTACACTTTTTGATAGTACCTCCAACAACAAGTAGGTGACCAAGGTCCATATCCTTTTGAACAAGAGGTCTGAGGAGATGGAGGTATGGTAGGGGAGTGAGAGTTTGTTAGACACTGGTCCGGGGTCGGCACTGAAGGTCGCCAATGCGGGCCGCTATAGGCCACGATGGCCATGATGCCATGAACAAGGCCCGGGGGTAGGGCATTTGGCCTCAGCAACTCTAAAGGGAGTGCTGTGCCCCCTAGCTGTCTCTTGGCCCTCATTTCGGACTCACTGGGGTTGCCTTGTTGGGGTCAGGACTTAGGGGTCGTGGTCACATCGATATTAGAGCTAAAGTACTATAGTATAGTATACAGGATATATATAGGAGGAAGGAATGAATGGAAGCAGACCCGGGCCGAGGGCCGAAGGGTCCGGAAGCAAACATGAATAAGGAGCGGGGTTGGCCACACAGCGGCCAGCAATGACCGAGGGTCAAATCAAACAATAACAGATAAATAAATGAAGGAGCATAGGGCTGTGATAGCGGCGATGGTATTGTAGTGGCACCGGACTCGGAGTTGGACCGGAGTTGGGCATGGGGATGATAGCGGCCCTGTAGGGGCCAAGTGGGCGGGGTAGAGGAGTTGCGCTGGGCATGGTGCTGGAGGCGGACTCAGGGTGGGAAGGTTGGTGTGGCTGTGGGGGAGTCGGCCAGGAGCAGGGGAGCCTAGGGGCAAGCAGGGGAGTGAGCAGGGAGTCCTCAGGGAGGATAGGGCTGAGGTCAGGGCTTGTGCTCACGCTCGCATAGCGGGAATGGGCTCAGGCAGCATCGGGATGGGTGGGGAATGGGCCGGAATGCACGGCCGTGACAGAGTTGAGGTATGTCCTGAGGTTCCTGACAGCTTGTCAGTACTCTAGTAACTTACCAGAACCATGTAGGAGTTCCGGAGGTGATGTGGATGTAGATGGGATGGAAGGGTGGAAGAGAGTTGAAGGAGGAGGTAGTCCTAGGATTGTTGGCATTGACCAGAGGCAGCAGAGAGAGATTGAGAGGGCTGGTGGAGGTTATAAGAGTCGTCTAGGACTAGGGTGGAGGGAGGTGGAAGATCTGGGATATGACAGTGCCTCCATAAAGAGATGAGCAGGTACTTCATACCTGCATCACAAATGATATCAGGCATTTGAGGTTGACTCTTGAGCTGCCTGTCCAATTCCAAAATAGACAGGCTCTGCCCATCAACACCACACTTAATTTCCATGTATTGTTCATGCAGTTCTCATGCCTCAATTGATGCATTGTTGATGCCCTTGATGGCCTTGAGATCGATCCAGTTGAGATCGACCAAGAATTTGAACCTGCTGGGCAAGTTCATGAAAGGGCACACAAAGTTCTCTAGTCACCATTGACAGTGATCATCAGATTGTTGTACCACTAATGGTCATGCCAAAGCTGAAGTCTGTTGCTGAAAATGACCCAGGCACTTCAACCTCACACCCTCAGGTAGTCTCTATGACTAATGATGTCTTTTTAACTCGTGTTCCATATGAGTCATTTCGATCCTTTGATCGAAACTTTCTTTTTGGAGTTGAGTGTTACTAGATCACAACACTTGAACCTCCTCACAAGTTTGGGATAGTTCATTATTGGTGCCTCAAAGGCAATCACTCATATCCTGGAGAATGTCACCCAGAAGTGGGTCTGACGATGTAGCTGCCTGTGGCAGCATATGTGCTGGAGCCATCGCTCCACACTGTGGTTGGTTGAAGGCCCACATATTGGGGCCATAGAATGGCTGAGGTGCCTGAAACAGCACCATCATGTCTGGAGAGAAGTGTTGACCTGTGTCAGGGCAATAGCCCCAAACCCCAAGTCACATGTAAATTAGATACACATAGTCACGTGGGCAAGCGGGAACCTCCGGGTAACCGCTTACACACCACCATAAAATACACTATCTTGTATCACTTACGGCCTTGTGTGCTGAGCCACCCTAAGACCTCACACTTTTTTAAGTGCATGAGGTGTGTTTTACAACACAACCCACAACTACACAATCTTAACATCTGACTCGGAAGCCCCTATGGCGCCTAAACACGCCCGCAAGGGCAAGGTCACATCTGCAGCGACACTAAAAAGAAACGAGCGGTTTATAAAGAAACTGCAATCTCCCATCAAGGGAGATTCAAACCAAAAGCCGTTGTCAGACGACGACGAGGATCAACATGATCCGGCAATAGCAACCACCTCAGGGCTGGTCCCTGAAGGCTTTAGAAACTTACGTGGAGTAAGTGTGGGGCGAAATACCCCCAGAACTCCACAACATACCGATCTAACCCAAGCTGGGGAAGATCCATCACCTCCTTACGAGGTGATCGACTTGTGTGAAAAACGCGTAAGCACCAAACGATCAGCCCAAAAAGCTGATCGGATAGAGTCGCAGGAAACTCCAGGGCCCCACTATCCCCTGGAGTCCCCCCTCACGTCCCCAAGTCAAGCCCCAAACGCAGACAAAGGGAAACAAAGGGAAGAGCCCCTGCAACGGCTATCCGAAAAACTACTGGACTTGTTCCAGGTTCCGTCTGAATGGAGGACGGAAAGTGAAGATCAACTTCTTCTCAGGCTGAAAGCCCGAGAAGGCGTGAAAATACGCCCTGAGAGCAGGATCTCCCAGAGCGCGGAAGCTCCAAAAGAACTTCTGCTGTTTACACTCCCACACACCATGCCAGACAAGGCAAGGTCGCCAACTTTGGAGGAGGTCTCCGAGATAATGAAGAGGAGGCGAACTGAAATGAAGGAGTTCGCTGAGGAAGCCTTACGTAAAAGTAAGGAGAAACCAGCGAACAGACCCCTCTATGAAAGGGAAGCACCCTCCGCAACGGCCTCACCTAAACAAAGCGAGCGTGGAGTGTTCACTCCAAGAACCCATTCTGGAACCCCCAGAAGCGGAAATGTCAACTGGGGAGAGTCACTGCTCGCCCAACCAAACTTCCTCCTGGAAAACCAGGAATCGTGCATAATAAATGCGATAAACTCGATCCAAAAAAAGATCGAGGAAACGAACCATAATAGCACGGCTTGTCTAGAGATAACTCTAGAAAGAATGGCCAACGCAATCGACGCATTGACTGAAAAAATCAGCGAACAAACAGATTTGCTGAAAGAAATAAACTTCTCACAAAAAAGTGAGGAAACAAATAGACACCCCTGGACCACGGTCCAGGACATAAATAGAACTCGTGAAAAATTCACGAAAAGAACCACCAGTGAAAGCACACTGGAATATCATCAGCGACTTGACAGAGACGCTAAGGAGATCCTTCTCCCAAGGATAGGAGAAGACGATGCCGAAAGAAGGCATCGTTCAGAGATTAGAAGGAGAATTGGCACGTACCAAAGGTTCGGCCAAACATCCACTTATGATGGACCTCTCAAACAGAGAGGTAACTCATTCACACCCTCTCAAAACAATGAGAGAATACAAATACAACTTCAGGCAAATTCGCCTGAAACCAAAGAAACGCTGCAAGGAAGATTTCCCCCAGCAAAAACCCCCCCAAAGGAGAGATCTCCATTGGATAGCGACCCCGCAAAGGCAGGGGAGCAAGAAGAGTACCTGGAGAAATGGTACGAAAAGGCCATAAGAATGCCCGAAGTGAGAATACTCACTCCCTACCCAGAAGGAGTGAAGCCAGAAGCCCTAAAGAATGGGCCGGCATTCCCTGACAAGAAATGGTCAGGGGAGAGCGACATGGAATCGTTCTGGCAGTGGTTCACAGAACTACTGGGATTCCTCGCCTCGCGAGGATGCAAAGGTCCCCAATTCGACGAAGTCCACCTGGACTGCTTGATTCGTGGATTAGGGGGACCCGCGTTTGACCTCGGAATTAGACTCCGAGATGAAACTCTCCTCAGAGGAGACGAGGGCATGTTCCTCGAAGTTCTCAACATATTGATGAGAACCTTCATCAAAGCCTCTGCCGTGTTGAACGCGACAAAGAAATACCACAACGTCAAATACGAAGCGGAAAAAGGCCTAAAACAGTTCTACTTAGAACTGTCAAAAGCAGTGTCCCAGATGGTGACACCTCCAGACCAGGCGTCCTTCAACGCCAGGTTCCTAAACTACATTCCCCTCGAATGGAAGAGGGAAATGATCGCTCATGATAGAATCAGAGCAGACTTCTCCTCAAACGAGATGTTAAAAGCAATATCTCGTGTAGACGAGATAATTGATGGGCTGAAGATGTCTTCAGCCTACAAATCAGGTTACTATACCTGAACAACTACCATGGCAACAACGAGCTGCAGCAGAGCCCTCCCATCAGGAAAGAAAGCGGAAGAGCTGAAACCCAGATGGAAAGAGGATACATCCTCGAAAAACTCGAGGAAAACTGACCAAAAGTCAGTTCCAATTTGCGGCAAATGCGGCAAAATAGGGCAAACGAAAGATTGCCCAAGACACAATATAACAAGCGATGAAAAACCAAGGCACATAGCTGCCATGGAAATCGCGAACTCATCGGATGAAGAGTCGAAAGGCTCATCAGATGAGAAACCAGAGAACAACTCTGGTAACTCCGAAGCATCAAGCTTCGAAGTAGAGGACCCATACAAAGGACCTCAATACTCACCCAACTCAGAGGGTGAGGAGGTCAACGTTGGGACCATAAGAATGGGCCCAATGTCAGTCGTTGACCATGATGACATAAATTATAAAATCAAACTGGCTGTAGCACACCAGTTAGAAAACACAGCAGACGAAAAAGTCGCTGAAGCCTTGGTGGAAGCACCAAGAAAAGACGCCTTGGGGAAATACACGAAAGTACCCAAGGAAAACAAGGAGAAAGGGAAGAAGGACCAAAAGTCCATCGAAACCCAGTCCCCCTTGTTCGATGCGAAATTCCGCATCTCAAAAGATGCGGGAAAATACCCTGCAAACAGACCGCTCTCAACGAAGAGAACGCTAATGGCTCACATAAAAATAGCAGGCATAAAAGCCTATGGGCTATTCGATAGTGGAGCCGAAATGGACGCTTTATCGCCGGACTTTGTCTGCGCGGTCCACATCCCAATTCTCCAATTGGAGAACCCAGTCGTCCTTCAAATGGGGACAAAAGGAACAAGATCACAGATCCTGTTTGGAACCAACGTGGACGTTGAAATCAATGGCCACATAGAAAAACACTACTTCGATGTAATAAACATCGAAAGATACAACGCCATCTTCGGCACCCCCTGGTTAAACAAAAACCAGGTAAGCTTAGACTTCCGGTCCCACAAAGTGAGAACGGTGAAAGAGGGGAGAACTTCTATTCCAAAATCCGGTATGTACAGGATATAAGGAACAATTATTTTTAGAAATAATAGATGGCAAATATTGGTGCCATATGGCACCTGGGTACCTTATTAGGCGAAATAATAAAAAGGGTAACAGTAACAATAAAAGAATATCAATCAATAACTGAAATGATGGCAAAATATGAAAATAAAAGAAAATAAGCGATATCTCAATGGATTTGCGGAATTAAGACCCTAAATTGGGAATGTAGCCGGAGATAACTTTCACGCAGCCAATGAGCATTTTTACCAATTTATTAGACGCCGTGGGAACGAGTGAGGCTGGAATTCTGGGTTGCCGCTTGAGATTCCCACGCCCGCACATGCCCGTGGTGCCTAACTTGCCCAACATTGAACTCCGTCAATTCTCCACCGATTGGGACGTTCTTGATATCGTCAGAATCGTACGAATTAGGACTATTTTTAGATACCGAATCCGTATCGAGTTGTCGCATGAATGGAAGGGATTTTCTAATCGTGGAAACGGGTATCCGAGCTGGCGCTGCATGTGGGCGATTATCCTGCCTACAACGGCGAACAAGGGCAACATAGACACCCTTGGAATAAGCGAAGACCGTGTGACGAGATCACACAGATGGAAAACTCAAGCAAGAGCCCGAGAACAACCAAAAAAGAAGCCCCCCTGACAGGGAGGCGGGATCGAAACACACCTCAGGGTAATCACAAGAAAATACCCTGAAGGTTGGCCCAATCCTAGTCTGGAAGGACTAGAACTTCCAGACATACCACACCTGGAAGGTCTCTCCATGAACAACCCCGAGTTCGAAATACTCAGGGAGTGG